CCGAACCTGTGTGAAACGCTGATAACACGCCAGTTCAAGGGGCGCGCGACACCTTTAAAGTGATGAAGCTTGATCCCTTAATCGTTGATTAACGTTGTGCATTACCTTACTCCCAACAACAAATCGAGAAACGGATTCCGAATAGAATTTAGAAAACGCGACAATCATTGCTTGATGACATATAGAATTAGTTTAATCACGCGTGATAAAATAAATCTACGTTTGTCTACGTTTATGTTTTTTTTCTTTCACTTGACAAACACATGATACACATATACTATCGCCATCGATCACTTTTTTCCCCCCCCTCTCGAATATAAGAAAAAACAAAAGTAACTGAGAGAGAGAGGTACCACGACCCTCGATCGATCGATATTTACCCATTTGTTGTTTATCGTTTGTAACACACGGATAAATAACGCAATTTCTCACGATGGAAAAAAGGACACAAAGAGAACGTGTCGCCTAATATAAAATTTTCTGAAAAATGTTTTTTTTCTTTCTCGTACGTGTAAAACGTGTATCCCGATTAAAAAGGAAAGATGGGATCAAGACGAGATTCTCTTTCTCCTTCTTTTTCTAGAAAGAACGATAGATGTAGATTTTATGGTCGCAAAAAAAAAAAAAAAAAAAAAAAAAAGAAGACATATTACTTGATCCCATCAATTAGATTAAACCCGTGGAAAACGAAGTGACGCTAATTAACACGCCCGATTTTCTTCTTCTTTCCAGCCTCATCGACCTGCGTTCAAACCCCAATTGGATGGTTCCGCATTCCCGCCACGCTTCGACCTGCAGCCCGATGGTGAACTGTAAAAATCTCTATCTGCGACCAAAATATTGTATTTTTGTTAGAAAACAAAACATTATCGCAACAGCTTAACGAACGAAGGAATTAATCGCAATCGGCGAACGTTTCATCGTGTCTCATCTCATTCGAATAACTCATCCCATTATCTTCATACCTACGCATACCTTGTTGTTCGCGTTGTTCGGAATAGAATACGGAAAGAATGTCTCGTCGCGATGTCCACGCTTGGTCACCTTGCCAGTTTCGAGAAATAAAACAAGAAAGAAAGAAAGAAAGAAAAGAGACGGTAATATTGAAGAATACTTTTTGCTCGTTTTTTAAACACGTTTTTTAACAGCGTATATTTATTTACATACGATGTGTACGCAAGCAAGATTACTTAATTAAAAAGATCGATAGAAGAAAAGAAGAAGAAGAAAAGAAAAAATGGGTGGTGATATAAGTGGAGGAGGAGAGGAGAAATGACTTCACCACTCGCGCTGACGGTCGAGGAAAGAGAGAATGAAAGAAAAGAGTGAGAGTGGGAGAGCAAGAGAGAGTATAAGAGAGAGAGGAAAGATACGAGCGGCCGAAATGCAACGCGATTGATCGAAAGTCGAGAAAACGTTGAACGCGTTATAATACGTGGCATACTGGCATACGCGCGTATCAAGCGGACGAATCGATAAATGGAAATGAAAATATACGCGTTAAAAGAGAAAACGGAACGCGAGATTATTAGGGAAAAAAAAAAAAAAAAAGTAAAAAAAGAATGATAAAAAAATTTTAACGCTAGTCACGGATTTGAACGGCAGCGCGCAATTATTATTATTATTATTATACGTGTCATCGAAATGATAATCCTATCCTATAAACTTAATTGTAATTTATAAAGAGAGCCGAAGTATGTATTTATTAATAAATAAATAAGCAAATAAATAAAATTAAGAACGAAAAGAAGCAAAATTTCGTTTGATTCGTTTTACTTATATCGTGTATATTGTATACTTTTGGTGTGTTACATATTCACACGATCCACGTCGAAACGAAATTGTTTCGAAACGCTCTTCGTCTCCTTCTATCTAAAATTCTTCTTCGGTTCCTTACGTGCCAATTGTTTGAACTGTCCTTTGATGAACTCCCATTGACTGAATTTTTCGGTACTGATCCCAAATTCCTTGCAAGTTTGTTCAAAAGCGTTCACGCAAAGTGGCAAGTAAGAATGATCGACCGTCGGTAAAAGGTGATGAAGACCGTGCAAACCGAAATTCGTCAGTACCAAAAAATCGGAATCGTCGATCACCTTTCGTTCCCTCACGGCGTCCAATTCCAACACACCCCAGTCGTAATCGTCTCTAGAAAAAAAAAAAAGAAGAAGGACGATCTTTCGATTTTGAGGCAAGATAAACGTAAGATTGATTCAAAAAAAAAAATTCGTTAAAAATTCGATTCTTCCTTTTTAAGGAAAATAATATCGAAAATACGAAATTCGTTTCGATATAAACGAACCTGTATATATCGCCATCGTGAAAGATATCAGGATGATGATGAGCTGCGTTGAAACCGATTATGGAGAATGTAAAACTGGCCACCACTATGATCAATAACCACAGTTCCACAGCCGTGAAGAAATTTGGTGTGAAGAATGACATTAAAACGGGTAAGGAAAAAGGTACCGCGTCTCTCAACTCGAACGTTTTGTATTCGAAAAACACGGAATAATATCTGAAACGAATAAATTTCGTCGCGATATACAATAATAATATATATATATATATAATAAAATAAAATAAAATAAAATAAAAAAACCTTTTGATCACTTGTTCGTAAAACATCAAAGCCCAAACGATAGGACTTATGAGTTGACTCACGAAAGCCATCGTTAAGGATTTTTTCGGATCTGGTAGCCAATGAATGAAAGGCTCGAACGCGTATATCTCGTAGTCCCAAAGAGTATTGGGATACATGTGATGGCTCATCGCGTGCGTTATTCGCCAATCCTTCGATGACATCATACTCAAGTCGAAATAATACATTCGAAAGTTATCCCTCATGTGAAAATAATTGTGGGCGCTTATAGTGGTCCATGTGAGGAAAATCCCTGAAAGTGTACAAATCTTTATCGGTGATTTTACGGAGCTTTCGTCGGAGAAAAAGAAAAAAATCGGGGAAATTTTTTTACCAACCGGTAACCACGATCATTACGTAAGATTGGGTGTACGCTGTCAGGATACTGAATAATAGAGAAGAGGCGAAAAGAAAATCTGCGATCAAATTCGTTTTCGTGGACGGCCGATGAAAATCCACGTCCTTCAAAGCTTCCAACACCCGCTTTCTGAACGTGGAGAAGAAACCATTCGGCTCGAACGTTAATGGCAGTTTTCGTGGTGAAACAGCCTCCCTTATAAAATATTTTGGAAGAAGTTTTGCGGCCTTATCGGTCAAATGATGCGACTGAAAAAACCACGAATAATCTTTAACAACAATCGAGTCCAATTTTCTAGATTTCTCGAACAATTCAGAACATTGTCGCTTCAATTTGTCGATTGATCGATTTGTTCTTTTTAAACAAATCACCGTTTAATCACGAAGCGATTAGAGAGTGAATTAAAAAAAAAAAAAATATTTCTTTCGTATCGATAATTCGATGATTAATAACGAATGATAAATTATACCTGGAAAAGTTCGGTAATATCGGTACCCTTGGTAAGGCGGATCCATTCAGCACCCCCTGGATGAAATTTTGCGAACCCTTCCAAATCGTATAAATTATTTTCAATCCTCCACAAATCTTCTGCGCCATCTATTTGCCTTCTTCCTTCGAGATAAGAGTAGCCTGTTTTAACTTTAGCTTCCCTTCCGGGAAAATTTTCGAAACCTGGTATCGAGCTTTCACTTTTTCCCATTTTTCTCACTTTTCTTAAAAAAAAAAAAAAAAAATACCAATGTTGTTGTTATTCGAATTTCAATATATCTTCAATGAAAACGAACGTAAAGAAAAACCTGTTAATCCCGTTATTTTTGTAAATTAAAATTCCATTGAATCACTTTTCAAATAAAATATCAAATTCAAAATATATTTCGAATTTTTCTTCGATAAATCATACTTTTTCGTACGTTTCATTTTTTTTTTCTTTTTTTTTTTTAATTATATGCCAAAAAATTAATATCAAAACGACAAATGCCCCGTATATTTTCATATAATTACGATTCGATATTTTCCATTTTTCCTTTCCATGATTTACGTTACGTTAGTTACGATCGTGTTATTTAATAAAAAATTGTATTAAAATGTTCACAATTATTATATTTCTTAATAAAAAAAAAATGTATTATGCAATCTCACGAACAAAATTAATGGAAAAAAATATAAATAAATCATCAATTGAATAATACTTTAAAAAATGAATATTTAATTGTATTTGATCTTGCAATTTATAATAATATATTATTGTTAATAAAATAATTAAAATTCATCGTCATACCAAGTATAGGATTAATTGTGCCTAGATGTTCCTCCTATGGAAATATCTAGAAGGAAAGATATTCGATGTTGGTGTATATTTATTCCCAATATTTTCAATTATTGAAACGATATCTTCTCGATAACGATTAAGTTATTAACATAAACGATATTTATTCAATCGCGCGAAAAGTATAAATAGGTATACAAAAATTATTTTTTGCTAACATTGATTAAAACCGAACTCGTATTCTATATCGTTTTACGTACTGCTTTTAATGAAACACTTCGAAAAGTAAACACTTCTCCTTTCTTATATATGTATCTTATACATATATACGTATGTAAAACAAACTGGTCAGAATCCAGAACTTTGACCTCGAAAATACGATACCGAGATGATAAATTAATAATACGTTATTGTAAAACTGTTTCCTTTTATCAAGAAAAATTACATGCATATTATAAATTGATTTTATCGAATTAAGTATTTTCCAATGTTTTTTAAAATTATTTTAAAAATTTATGTCATTTAATTATCTCTTATCTTATAGATGTAAAATATTCCAAGGTAAATTTTTAACATTCTAATAAGATAAGTTTTAGATAATGAATAGAAACGAATACGCGATAAAAAATTATACGTTATTTTTAATACATTCCAAATTTTTACCGTTTTATTTATATTTCCGTATAAATAATAAAATATAATCCATGGTTAATGCAACACTATTTTGTGTTCTGTTTTCATATGTTTTTAATATAAATATAATATAATTTCCCAATCATTCTTCTCGTTTACTTCTTGTTTACGAAAACTAATCTTACGTAATAATCAATCGATAAAGTAAATATTTAGTTGATCGATGTTTAATCGATCGATGAAAAATCAGGATTATCGGCATCGAAAACGTACGACAATTCTTTTAATAATAAATAGTAAATTTCGAAAAAATAGAAAATTTTTTACAAAATTCATTTCTATCCAAATATTATATCGTATATAAATTATAAAAATAAAGTTGGATTAAATATAAGTATAGTATGATTCAACTATCATGAATCGAAGAAAATAAAAGGGCTCCAAAATATAAAATTTTATTTGCGGATATTTATTAATTTTCGAAATCTTTGTCTATATTATATTATTTGTATATTGAATTCTATACACGTGTCAGTGATGTCATTATTTAATTTCTATAAATATGTTGAATCATGACGCAAAATATATGACGAGTGAATTAATATTAGGGTTTGGACATTTCACAGATCCTTCGAAAATGAGATATAAATTTTATTATAAATATAAATACAATTTTCAAACGATCGAATTTACAATGATCGAGATTACGATAATGGACAATTACCGAGTTATTTGTTAGTTATTCAAAATAATATTTATAATAACCTCATAGTTATATCATAGTACATTTCGAATATCAGTCGATATATGTAAAAATAATCGATGATTCATTTAGATATGTAAACAGTATTCAATGTGTAAAAAAAATTTTCAATAATATGTCAAAAAATTAGTAAATAATCTTATAATTAAAATTTTATATTTGAGACTGTACTTCCTTAAAATTTCGATTCAATATAGATCATATGTTATCATAAAATTTTTCAATCGAATTGTGTATACAGACCAAATAAAATTATTTCTTTTATACGATAATAAATCTAAAAAAAAAAATTAAAATATGAATTAAAAAAGAATGAACGAACTTAAAGATAACTGTTATTGAGAAATAGTACATATATAACATAATATAAACAAAGAAAAAAATAAACATGGAAAAAAGAACAGTGATAGAGAAAAATTGTGAAAGAATAGAAATACGGTAAGAATTAACCATCAGTTCCATCTCTCGAGTATCGAAGACATAAATATAGATGGAATAAGAATCGAGGATCAGCGCTATCTCTCGAATTCTTTTAGAAGTCTTTTTGGAAGTTAAAAAAAGCGCTGATTTCGTTTTTACCCTATCATCATTTTTCTTCGATAGATTCTTCGATATATATATATATATTATTAACTTATTCGTCTTCTTTGCTGATTAAAATTTTAAACCGAGAAATCTCTTTGATCCAATTTTTACACGATGCAAATATATATGTACATGACATTTTTTATTAAAGTCCAATATATTATATACATATATTTATCTAAATCAGATATTACAATTATTTCAACATCTGAATCATTTTATATGTAACTAATAATCAGTCGTCTACTCGTTCAAGTTTCTTTTCACAATCGTCAAATAACATCGAAT